TGCCCGGCTAATTTTTTTGATTTATTGTAGAGATGAGGTCTCGTCAAGTTGCCCAGGCGGATCTCGAACCTGCGGGCTCAGGCAGTCCACTCACCTCAGTCTCCCAACGCGTGGGATTACAGCCTGAGCCACCAAGCCCGGCTTCCCCTCCTCCTTAAGCAAGGTGTGTCAGCCCTGCCCTTGGTCACCCCTGTGTGCCTTCTGGGGGAGTTCTCCGTGCTCAATACCCGCTCGGGGTCAGCCTCGACCGCCCTTCAGCAGAAATGTTGGGCTCACAGGTCTCCAGTCTTTTCTCTGACCTCGGCCCACACGGGTCTCGGGATTCCGAATGCTGCAGAACAGAAGAAGGTCCTGTGTGGATCTAATCCTATCCATTAGATTGAAATTCTAGTCGGATGGAGGGCTGCAACATATTCTCACTCCGCTAACAGGCACAGCGGAGTTTAGGATATTAACCACCACAGGACCACATCAAGAGTAGAGGTTGGTGCGGTGGCTCACGGTTGTAATTCCAGCACTTTAGGAGGCTGAAGCGGAAGATTTCTCGAGGCCAGGAGTTTGAGACCAGTCTGGGTAACATAGGGAGACTCTGTCTCTACAGAAAACTTAAAAATTAATCAGGTGTGGTGGTGCATGCCTGTAATCTCAGCTACTTGGGGGTCTGAGAGGGAAGGATTGCTTGAGTCCAGAAGTTCAAGGCTGCAGTGAGCTATGATCACACCACTGCACTACAGCATGGGCTGGAGTGAGATCCTAGCTCAAAAAAAAAAGAAAAGAAAAGAAGATTAGAAATCATCTTTCATCAGATAAAGTTGTATCATTAAATGCATTTGTGTCAAATTTAGGAGAGGTGTTTTGGATTTCAGAGCTTTCAGAAGTTGAGAATCAGTCAGGCGTGGTGACTCACATCTGTAATCCTAGCAATTTGGGAGGCAGAAGCGAGAGGATTGCCTGAGTCCAGGGGTTCAAGACCAGCCTGAGCAACTTGGCGAGACTTCGTCTTTACAATAAATAAAAAAAAATGAGCCAGGCATGGTGGCGTGTGCCTGTGGTTCCAGCTACTTGGAAGGCTGAGGCTGAAGGATCACCTGAGTCCAGCAGGTTGAGGCCGTGGTGGCCATGACAATGCCACTGCACTCCAGTCTGGGCCACAGAGTGAGACTTCGACTGAAAAAAAAAAAAAATTGAGAATCATGGCTAAAGGATTGGGGACCTGTGTTACCTTCTTTCTGGATGTGGCCAAACTTCCCTGTGTAGACATCCCTGCTCTGGGGCAAATAGAGAGGAGAGGGGGAAAGCCAAGTATTTATCCTGCACTGACTGTGTGCCTGGTGCACATCTAGCCAGATCTGAGCCTCCCGTTCAGGGCAAAGGCCAGCTCAGCCTGCCTGGGTCGCAGAAAGTGGCCCCAGCTTGGCCGCTAATGTGTTTACCCAAGGCCTGGAGTGGTTGGGGTTCCATCTGCTAATCTCACCAGCTGCCTGTCTGGGTCGCAGCACTGAGAGGAAGGGTGGGTAGGGGGT